CCCCTCCCCTCCCTCTGTGCTTTGCCACAAACCCTTCCTTATTCTGGAATTGGAAGATGCTGTGAGTGTGTTTGGCTGTGTTTGGTTTCGGAGAATAGCTTGATGGATGCCCCCATGACATCTTTTTACCGGTGGCCGTGCTTTTTCCTCCGCTTATTTGTCGTCATTTCGACATAATGTCTATAATAGCCGTAAGCGGCTAACAGCGAGAAACCAGAAAAATATCAGAATTCAATAGTCCCCACTCCTGTTTATGGCATAATAAATGTGAGGATGCATCCAGCACAGCCTTTGGGCATCTCGGGGGTCCTTGTGGGTCCCTGGGAAAGTCAGCTGTCCCCCCCACACCCCCAGAAGCCTTCCGGTCCATGTCCTGCCAGCGCACCTTCCCTTCCCAGCCCGCTCACGGGCCCCCCTCTCCCCGCTCGTCCCCGCAGGACAGCAACGGGCAAGTGGCCGGAGGCGGCGTCTCGGTGTATTACTCCCACGTCCTGCAGATGCTCTTCTTCAGCTACTGCCAGGGCAAGTCCTTCGCCGCCACCATCAGCCGCGCCACGCTGGAGGTGATGCGCCTCTTCCCCATCAGTATTAAGAGGTGAGTCTGCCCCCCAGCGTGGCGGCCCCCCGCCCCCCTTTCCCCTTCGCGGCCGCTGCGACGGTGGCAGAAGCACCTTGGCGGGATGCTGAGAGGCAGAGAGGGCGGCCTCTGCGGAGGTTTGGGGGATGCCGGGAACGTCTGGAGGGCTGCGGGGAGCCTGCCCTGCTCCGGGGAGGGAGGCCCCTCCGTGCCGCGTGCCGCTGACGTGGCGCCTTCCCGGCCGCCTCTTCCCGCAGCTCCAACGGCGGCAGCAAGACCCCCCCGGCCCTCTGCCAGTGGTCCGAAGTGATGAACCACCCAGGGCTGGTGTGCTGTGTGCAGCAGACGACGGGCGTCCCCTTGGTGATGATGGTGAAGCCGGACACTTTCCTGATCCAGGAAATTAAAACCTTGCCGGCAAAAGCCAAGGTCAGCTTTTGGGCGGTTTCCCTTGGTGGGTGAAAGTGGGGGCGCCAGGGAGACGCTTGCAGGCGGAAGGCCGAGAAGAGTGCGTGAACCCTCAGCACTGGAAACAAGAGGAAATAAACCGGTGCATTGCCCGCATTTCTAGTCCTGCGACTGGATCAACTTAATGCTTCAGAGCTTTTGACTTTCTCCCCGTTGGGCATAAAACGCAATTTTTTTATAGTAAGTTTTATTTAAAATTACAATTCTAGAAACTAAGAAAAAACTAAAAACAACATCAATCATCAAAAAACATCGGGCCTGCTGGGTCAGCCCCCACATCATTTCCCTCTATTTATGATAACTTAAAAACATATTTAAATCTATACGAAGTCCCGTTTCTCTAGCCCATGATAAAAAGAGTCCCGAGTGTGATGGAAGTAAAACGCCCTTTGCGCCTGGGCGGTTCCTTCCTAAGCCCGCAGCCGCCTAACGCCGCGCTTCCCCCGGCCTCCAGATCCAGGACATGGTGGCCATCCGCCACACGGCCTGCAACGAGCAGCAGCGCACCACCATGATCCTGCTGTGCGAGGACGGCAGCCTGCGCATCTACATGGCCAACGTGGAGAACACCTCGCACTGGCTGCAGCCCTCCCTGCAGCCCAGCGGCGTCATCAGCATCATGAAGCCCATCCACAAGCGCAAGGCGGCCGCCACCAGTAAGTCCCTGCGAGGCCAGGCCGGTCAGCGGCGGCGGCAGCGTTTCTCGGCCCGCTCGTGCGCGGCGCCGGCTGCGGCCGTGTCGCCGCGGTCCTGCGGCCGGCCTCTTGCTGTCCGGCGGCTCCTCTCTCATTCATTTAAAACTTTTCTGTACCGGCCCATCACAGACGTCTCGGAATGGTTGACATCACCATTAAGCAAATAGGAAAAAAAGAGAAATAAGAGTGGGAGTAGCACAGCATCCGATGTTAGGTGTAAAACCGCAAATTAGCAGTTGAAATATTGGGAGAATAAAAGGGGGTTTGCCTGGAGCCGGACAGAAAGAAGCGTTGGTGCCAGGCGGAACCCTCTGGGGAGCGTGTTCCGCAGTCGGGGCGCCACCACAGAGAGGGCCCTCCTCCGGGTAGGCCCCCTCATCGCTTTCAAGGAGGGCTCCCGGAGGAGGGCCTCTGCCTCAGGATGAGCATTAAGCAGAGGGTCGGGCCTCTGCCCGGGCCGAGACCCATTCTCTCAAAGAGCCCAGGCCTGTCCCTACAATGTGGCGACGTGGGGTTGACCGGGGCCCACAGGAGCCTCGGGATGGCCATCCGACCTCCCCTTCCGCCCGTAAGATCTCCCACTCAACTCAGGGGCGCGTCTTTCGTGGGTGAGGAGGTGGGACCTTCTGGGGCTCCAGGGGGTGAAAGGGGTGCGTGGGAGGCCGTGCGAGTGAGCAGAGGGTCCCTCCTCCGACCTCGGCCCTCAACTCCCCCTTTCCTCCCCCCCCCCCGCACAGCAAACCGCACCTCCACCCAGGTGAGCTTCCCCATTGACTTCTTTGAGCACAACCAGCAGCTGACGGACGTGGAATTCGGCGGCAACGACCTCCTGCAGGTCTACAACGCCCAGCAAATCAAGCACCGGCTGAACTCCACCAGCATGTATGTCGCCAACACCAAGGTGAGTCCGCACTCCCCCCCCCCCGCCCGGGGCCAGGGAAGGGCTGCGGCGTCCAGCCACGGCCGCTCTCCCGCTGCCCTCTCCGTCCTGCAGCCGGGCGGCTTCACCGTCGAGGTGACCAACCACAACAGCACCATGGTGATGACGGGCATGCGGGTCCAGATCGGGACGCAGGCCATCGAGCGGGCCCCGTCCTACCTGGAGATCTTCGGCCGCACCATGCAGCTCAACCTGAGCCGGCCCCGCTGGTTCGACTTCCCCTTCACCCGGGAGGAGGCGCTGCAGGCCGACAAGAAGCTGACCATCTTTGGTAAGGGGCCGTGCCCGGACCGTTTCTCCCCTGGCACCAACCCCTTCCCCTCGCGCCCCCTGACTCCGTCGGTCTCCCCGGCTCTCCCCTTTCCCTCTGGCAGTCGGGGCGTCGGTGGACCCCGCCGGCGTCACCATGCTGGACGCCATCAAAATCTACGGCAAGACGAAGGAGCAGTTTGGCTGGCCGGACGAGCCCCCCGAGGACTTCCCTTCGGCCTCGGTGAGCAGCGTTTGCCCCCCGAACCTGAATCAGGGGAATGGCACCGGAGACGTGGAATCGGCTGCCCCCGCAGTCGCGAGTGGCACTGTTCTCGAGAGGTAAAGCTCCACGGTCGCTTCTTTGCTTTCTGTTTGCTGGGTTGCGTCCCCGCCCCTCCATCTCCCCACAGGCGTGGCACCGCCGCCTCGGTGGCGCAGGGCCTGGTCGTGGGGGCTTTGGATTCTCTCGTGGCGCCTCTCGCTCTGTCGGCGTGTGCTGTGAGAACGTCGCCTGACTCTCCGGGCAGCCTTTCCCAGCCCCGGGCCCTCTTGCTCTGCACGACTGCAGCTTGCAGGACTGTCTGGGAGCAGTGGGGGTTATAGGGCGGGCCTGGGCCCTTCTGCTCAAGGACCCATAGCCGTGGCGGAGACCACTTCAGGCCGAGCGGGACAGAAGCCGCAGCCCAGAGGCCGAGGCCCCTGAGGTCAGTGAGGGAGCCGCTGCTTGCTGTCTGTGCGTCACGCATTTGGCCTCATGGAGTCCTGGTCTGGGATGTTTCCGTAGCTGAGGATTCTGGGAAAGGCTGTCCTAGAGTGCTGTTTGTGCACTTCACATCCGTCGTGAAGCCTCCTTCCTGCTTTGTGCTCTCCGGTGAGGGGACTCGGGCAGCCGGACCCCTTTCGGGCAGCCGCGTTTGCCCCCAGCTGCTGCTGCTCTGCCAGAAATGCCTCTTTCTCTCTGCTGGTCGTCTTCGCTGCGATCTCTTCCGAGGAAGGGGACTGGAATAAAAGCGGGCATCGGAAATCCCTCCCCCAGGGAAGCACGCTAGGAGCTCACCTCCTTCCCCCTTTCTCCCGGGACAGCTGTCGTTTGGCTGGAACACTGGGAGAACCCGGATGATGGGGAGAGTGCCGTGAGGGCAGGAAAAGGACGGAGGGGGCACATGGGCTTTGGTGGAGAAGGTGTTTCTGGAGGGCACAGGTGGACTGGCTTTTGCCTTGCGCAGTCTGGCGTTGCTCTGGAAGAGGACGAGTGTGAACGGGAGAGAGAGGCGCTCAGAGGCTCTTTGTGGGCCCTTCGGCCTCTTGGGAGTTCGGAGGGTTGGGCGCTCTCACAGAATGGCTGCCGTGGGGCTGGTCCTGCCCGTTCCTAAAAGAGTTACCATGACGGGCACAGCCAGTGATAAAACACTCATTCCCCAGAAAACCCGGAGAAAAGTTGCTTGAATGCAGAGCAGAGGGGAGGTCTGAGCTCCGGAAGAGCAAAGAGGGTGCTGGAGAGCAGGCGGCGCGTTGCCTTCCCAGTTCCGCCGAACAGAGGAAGGCATAAAAATCAGGAGAGGCATGGAACCCGCTGGGTGCTGAGGGAGGCCTCTTTTGGGGGACATTGCGACCCATGGGATGCCCCAACTCGACCGTTAAGGCAGGCCTGCCCACGTGCCTTGAACTTTCGGACTCGGCCTCTCTCAGTATGAATGCTTCCGTGATCGGGGCTGTGCGTATTCTGCGAGTGTTTAAAGAGCGCTGGCCTTTGTGCCCAGGCGAAGCCCAGTCCTGCCACACTCTGGAGAGCCACGTGAGGCTTGTTGGCTTATTTCGTGGTGCCATGAAAATTGCGTTCAGCCGCCCGCTCCGCTCGTCAGATTTCAGCCAATCTTGCCCCTAGACATCCAAACAAATCCCAGCATCCATAAGGACTAGGAACTTAAGACAGAAAGAAATCTGAGAAGGCCCAAAAGATGCACTCATTGCCCAGGATTGCTTTTCTTGGTTTGTCTGCGGTGCCACAGAATCCCGGCCTGCGTGCAGACGTGGCTGAAACTATTTGACCGTGTGAAGAGTGCCAGCAGCATGTGAGCTGCTCTTTGTTTTGCTGCCCCACATTTAAAGCACGCATCGGCCCTCTTGGGGGCGCTGTGGAGAGCTTGGGGTGTCCCCTCGTCACCCGCCCTCGTCTTGGGCGGCAATTCCAGCCTGTCTGCCAGCCTGCCTTCCCTGCGCTCCGCAGCCCTTGGGGTTCCTCTTTGTTCTTTTGCAAGGAAAGAAGCTTGTGCCACCCCGATAACCGTCACTTGGGTTGCATTCCTTTGTTTCCCAAGGTGCCTCTCTTTCCTCCTCTGTTTTGCCAGCCCCTCGTTTTCGTTTGCCCGTTCCCCTCTCCCTCTCTGTTCATTTGCTTAGGATGTATTTCTTGGGTATTTTTCTGTAAGCTTCCCATCTTTTTATTTATGCATTTTTATTTTTCCTTTTCCTTTGCTCCCCCAAAAGTTCTGAAATTGAATCCCTAACCATCCTGGACCGGTTAGTATACTCTCTGTCTGTCTCTCTTCTCTGCACGGACGGTTTTTGTGTGTCAGAATAACAGCACACGGCTTTGATTTCTGTTGGCTGTCTTTCTTTTAACATGTGTGCAGTGTTTGCGTAAAGTTGCCCTCATGCCGCTTTTTTTCGGGGTTCCCTGCATGGCGGAGAGGTCCACGGAAGTGACCCAGCAAGAGGAACTGGGCCGCGAGTCCCAGCAGCTTGCCTGTGTTCCTGCCTGGCTTTCCCTCCGGTTCTCTCTGCTCCCCGGACTGCAGCTGGGGAGGGACCCGCTTATCCTGGCCTGTGGCGAAGCAAAGCAGGGGGTGTAGCTGAGAGACAGAGCTTTGAGCCGCATTTGAACCTACGGCTGCCACGGGCTCCGATAACCACGCAGACTTCCACCCGGGTGCAGAATCGCCAGGCGTGGCCCGCTCAGGGCCCCTGTCGAGCCTTTCCCCCCGCTGCCGCCGCGTCTCGGGTGCCGGTCTGCTTTTGTGCGGGGTCTCCCATTCTGAAAGGCTGGGATGCTTTTCCCGAGGCTGGAGGACCCACGGGAAGAGCCTGAAAAGCAAATCCCGAACCCAAGCCTGACCCGCTTTCGCCTACCCCCCAAAGGACCCCGTTGGGAGTTTCTCTGAAAGGAAGCTCAGTCCTCCGGCCACGGGAGCAGCTCTGCTTTACCTCGCTGAATCCCGGCACGACCCGGACTTGTGGTCCGCTTCCGCCTGGCAACTGCTCTTGAAAGTCATCCCCCTCCTTGCTCCCACTGCCCCCAAGATCCGTTGGACCTGCAGGTGCTGATGGTGGTGCTTGGGATCCTACCTGCAAACATCGTGGTTGTGCCAAATCTGGCTGGGGGACCCCCCCCCCTGCCACACGCGCGCGTGCGCGCGCTCCCATCCAGGCAGCTCACTAACAAGGTTTCCCCATCCTGGTGGCTCCAGCCTGCCTGAGCAGTGGCAGGAATGCTGGGAATTGTAGTCCAAGACCACCCAGGGTGCCAGGCCGGGAAGGCTGCTCCAGAGGCTCCGGCGGAGATCTCGCTGCTCCTTGCCGGCCAAGCTCCTCCGGGTGGCCCAGGGTGGTGTGGAGGCGCAACTCGGGGAGGCCCGGCAGCCGCGTCTCCAGAGGGGACCCCAGAAGGCCGGGAGCTGTGCGGGTGCCCATGAACCAACCATTTCCGGCAGCTTCCAGCCTTTCCAGAACGAACCTTTGAACCTCCGCTGCCGGGGACTGGCACGCGGGACTGTTTGGCATCGTCCTTATTCCCGTTTCTGTTCTGTTCTGTGTATGCCCCACCTTTTTCCTGCAAGGGAGCCAGGATGGTCTCCTCTCCATGTTATCTTTGTAACAACTTTGTGGGGTGTTCATTCCACTCTGTCCACCGCACCACCCTGGCTCCCTTCGTTTTCTCCTTTTCATCATATCTTGCTGGCTAAACATATATGATAAAAGAAATAGTTTTTTATTTCTGCCTTGCATCATCCCCACCATCCTCATTTTTACTCCTGCATCGTCCAAGCCATCCGTCAGAAATAACCAGAATCTGGGGCTGAGGCAGAGCCGGCTTCCATGAGGGCTGCCTGGCGGGGGATAAGCCCTGGGCCTTGGCCAGGGCAGTCGGTGGGAAGACGGAAAGCTCAGGCGCTATAAGAGCAGGCAGCTTTTTCGGAGGGGCCTGTACGTAGCTGGAGTTGCTTTCTGGCGGGTCTGGCCTGCCGACGCTCAGGGCAGCATCCGTGCGCGGGTGTCGCCGGCGCATCGCAGGAGTCGGGAGCACAGAGGCGGTCCCTTGCAGCTCAGCGTGGCCTCGGGCTTGTCGGGGGCAACACGCTTTGCAGGGTGAGGCCGGTGGTGGGGACTTGCCTGCAAGGTGCAGCCCAGAAACGGAGGGCATGTGACGGAGAGCTTGCTTTGAGTCCTCTGTCGTGGCCTGGAAGGACTGTTCCTCCCCTTGCTTTGTCGCTGCCGGGAGGACAGACTCTCTCCAAATCGTCTCTCAGAGCATTGTGGGAGCCGTCTTTTCTGCATGGGATGCTGGGCAGAACAAGGACGGGGGCCACCCGTGGGTGGGCCGGGGGCGCAGCTTTCTGAGGCTCGGTTTTGCCTGTCTTGTCTTCCCCTTTGCCATTGCTTTTCCTTCCCCGAGTTGGGTTTGTCCGCTGCTCCCCTGCTCTGCAAGGGGCAGACAAGGGTTCGGCTTGCAAGCTGCAGAGCTGAACAGCAAGGCCTGGACTAGGACTGAGCCCAGCTGTCCTGGGAGGTCGTGGGGCAGCGTTCACCCCACCCACGTGTGGCCCAGTCGGCATGGGGTGAGGCGGCAGGCCTCTGCCCCGCCGGGTCTGCATGCTCAGAGCAGGCCCAGGGCGAGCATTGCAGGCTTGGGAGGCAAGAGGGGAAAGAAGCTCGTTATTTTCTGGCAAAGCATCAAAACAGTGGGGCTTTTCCACTTGGGAAGATACTTTCCAGCCCCCCCCCCCCCCCGATCATTTCAGTTGCCCCTTTCCACCCTCTTTCCACCCAGCATTTCAGTGTCTCCTTTGGAGAGCTATCCAGAATGATTTCTTGGCCACGTTTCATAATGGAAACAGAGAATTGCATTCACAATCCGGTTGTTTCTCTTGTGTTGCTGGCTTCAGTGGGAGCAATTTCCTTTTTGCTTTCCAAGGAAGTTTTTCTTTTCTTTTCTTTTTGAGGTTCCCCGAAGGTGGGTCTTCCTCACAGAGTGGTTGTTTGCAGCCTGGCACGGGGTCCTGGCTGTATCCCCAAGGTTGGAGGCTTTGAGTGCCGTATTTCGCCGTGCGCTCCCCCAGGTTTTCTAAAAAGTTGCTTGACCCTTTTGTCCCTCCTGAACCAAAGTTTAAGACCCACACGGCCCTCGTCCCCAAAGCCCCTCCAAGCAGGCCTCTCCTACAGCCCTCTCTCCACCGCAGAATTCGTGCCGCACCGCCCCTTGAGCTCCACCGCGTGTGAGATCTCGGGGAAGGGGAAGGCGTGTGTATCGGGGGGACACAAGACGAATCGGTGCTGTCAACACAATCCAAGTTATCCACGCCGCAGGCGGTGTAAGGAGTGCTTTTCATCCTCTTTGGGGAGAGAAAAGCTCCCCCCACCCTGCCCCCTTGCCTTTCAGCTGTGGATTTGCAAGCAAGGCCCCAAGTTTCTCTGAGCACGAGCCAGGTTTAACTCTGGTCTGCAGCACAATGAATGGAGATATGCATGCCGCCTGTGGCAGTTTCTATCTTGCTTTGATGCCTTTCTTTTTTGTGGCGCTGGTGATAGTAGGCAGGAGACTTGGCATCCCGAGCGCTCGCTCGCTCGCTCGCGCTCTCCCCGGCTCTCCCCCTTCTCTCTCTGAGCCTTCCAGAGCCGTAGCGTGCGATGAAGCAAAGTCTCAAGGAAGCTGCCTTTTCTCAAACCGGCTTTCTCCCTCTTCCTTTCTCCCCTCCAGGCTAGTCGTGAGTTCTTTAGAAGCGCTGGAAAGCTGCTTTGCTGTCGGACCAGTCAACGAGAAGGCAAGTCACTTTCCTTGAGGTTTTGGGGACATCGGGAGGTTGCCTGAGGTTTGGGGGGGGTGCTGGGCGGCACACACCAAGGAGATCAGCGGCTCTTGCCGCCCTGATCCTCAGAAGAGAGGAACGTGTCATTCTTCACGGATTTGCTTTGATGCCGCTCAGAAGCAGAGCTCTGCGAGGGCGCCGGAGAGCAAAAAGGCTTTGGAGCCGGCTCTGAAGGACAGCGGTTTCATTTCCCCTCGCTGCTGGCAGCCATTTCTAACCCTAACCCTGCTGCAGAGCTGACCTCATTTGCAAAGCCCGGTGGGGAAGAACTGGGGAGCAGAAGCATTGCCAGGTCCCTTGATCTGTCTCGCCGCTCTCCTCCGTCTCCTCAAGTTACGTTGGTCCCATTTCCTCATGAGCGTTTTCCAAACGCACGGAAATCGGGACTCTTCAAGCGCGCACTTTCCCCCGTCCGCACATCGACACGGACCCTGTGTGTGCACCCTTAACTGCGTGTGCGTCCTCCCGACTGCCGGGACGCGGCCCGGGGCGTGTGCTCCCCCACAACGCGGCCTTCTGTCCCCGCTGCAGGAGAAGAGCCGGGCCGTGGCCCAGGAGCTGGCCACCCAGCTGCTCTCCATGCCGGCCCCCTCCAGCGTCCAGCAGCAGACCAAGAGCTTGCTGGCCAGCCTGCACACCAGCCGCTCGGCCTACCACAACCACAAGGTACAGCAGCGCTTCGGGGCCGGCCGGGCCTCGCTTCCACGGTCCCCGAGGAAATCCTTGGGCCTCTCGTGCCACAAAGGATTCTGGGTGCCCCTCGGGGTTGTCCTTTCTGCTCATGCAGGCCCTGGCTGGGCGGCGGGGCTCCTCCTTCGCCCTCCACACATGCCCTGGAGAACGGCCCCCCTGCCTCGGCAGCCAAGCATCTGCAGCGGTGGCGGGGGTGCCAAGGAGGGGGCCCGGGGACCGGGTGTCGGGTCGCCTCCAGGTGACGCCAGGCCCCTGCTGCGCCTCGGCCGTGCCGTGCCGTGCGAACCGAGCCCGAGGGCGGCTCTTGGGCGGGATGCCTCCCGCCAAGAGCGCGCACGCGTTTCTCAGGCAGCCTCCGCTCCCTGTCGCTGCAGGACCAGGCCTTGCTAAGCAAAGCCATTCAGTACCTGAGCACCTCCAGCAAAGAGGGGAAGGACCTCGACCCAGAGGTGTTCCAGAGGCTGGTCATCACCGCCCGCTCCATCGCCATCATGCGGCCCAGCAACCTGGTCCACTTCACGGAGTCGAAGCTGCCGCAGCCCGAAGCAGGTGGGCGGCACTCGCCCCTCCTTTTCCTCCCCTCGGCCGAGCAAGCCGCCTTCGCTCATCGGCCGCTTGAGCGCGTTTCCTGGCCCGGTCTGCGGGATGCGGCCGGCCAGAGGTTGGGCGCTCGTGGCCCGTGCCTACCCCCACCAAATCCTCCTCGTTTGCCCTCAGAAGCCGGCGAAGAGGGGCAGGAGGCCCAGAAGACCGCCGAGGGCGAGGGCTGCACCTTCGTCGCACAGCTGGTCAGCCACTTCTGGAAGCTTCACGCCTCGAAGCCCAAGAACGCCTTCCTGGCCCCCGCTTGCCTGCCAGGTGCTCCTCTCCACGTTCCCACCAGCTCCTGGTGGGCCGCTCTCCGGTTCCCGGGCCCGTCTGCTCAACTCGCTCGCTGCTTCGCCTCTCCCACCCGCAGTCTCCTTTCCCTGTGAAAACGTCTCCCACGGTCCCTTGCTCATGGCGCGTCACCCAAGTCTGTTGCAGGCCAGCTGAACGGTTCCTCCGCCTTGGGTCAGGGGACCTTGTGTGGCCTCCAAGTGCACCCTGTGGCCAGATCCCCCCCCCCCCCCAGTCCTGGCTCTGCCCGTGCTCTCGCTTGTGTGTGAGGAGGGCCCTCTCCCCACACTGCACCCCGCCCTTCCCTTGGGGCTGAAAGGGAGTCGTGCCTCTGGCCGGCCCATCAGAAGCGCAGAGGCCCCTTCCTGTGCAAACAGGGTGCCTGTCCCCCTTTCCCTGCATCCCATAAAAGCAGACGCCAAGATGGGTGTCTCGGCTTGCACAGAGACGACAAGCAGCTGGGGGTCACGGTGCTAACATGACTGGCCCCCCTTTCCCGTGTGGGACCGCTCCAGCACCGGGATCCAGCAAGGCTGGTTCGGCTCAGGAACCGACCTGCACGAGGGGCTGCCTCTGCCCTCCCCCCGTGGCCTCTTGGCCTGTGCAAGTGGCGCAGGGTGGAGGCCGCGTCTTCCCCAGCCGCGTGGGTGCGCAAGCCGGCAAGCTCTGGCAGGAGAAAAGGGGCCCGGCTCCCCCTCCCCTCTTTGGCAACCATCATAAAAATGCGGCTTCGCTTGGCGGGAGTTTGGGTGACGCCAGGCATGGGGCCCGGCTGGCTAGTAGATTTGCAGCCACCGGCATGTATTTCTTTGAAGTGCCTTTTTGCTGCTGCGCAAGCTAAAGGGCTCGTGGGACGTCCGTAGGGCAAGGCCGCCCTGCCTGAACTTGCGGTCAAAGCCGACTGGGCATGCCCAGTGAGGGGACGGGAACTGAAGCAGGGAGAGGGGAGCCGTTCAGTCAGCCCTGCGGGGCTGCCTGCGGTGTTCCCCCACGGCCCCCTCTTCTGGATACGTGGGAGGCGAGGGTGCCGAGCAGCTTTTCCCTGCAGATTCACGGCCGGCAGCATCGAGCGCTGCCCGCCCTGACCTCTCCCCCCCCCCCCGTGCCTAGGCCTGACCCACGTGGAAGCCACCGTCAATGCCTTGGTGGACATCATCCACGGCTACTGCACCTGTGAGCTGGACTGCATCAACGCCGCCGCCACGATTTACATGCAGATGCTGCTCTGCCCGGTACCTTGCGCGCTCTGGCTTGACCCCGGGAGCCTCATGGGCAGCAGCCGGGCCAGTCCCGCTCGCGGGGGGCCTTGCCTGCTCCTGGGTGGAGGCGGGTCCAAGAGGCCGGGCTGGCGGGGCCCCGGGGAGGGGGTGCGAATCCCAGACTTGGGGGCAGCCGCCTTCGCCCCCCTCGGCCCAGGCTCGGCCGCCTGCCGGGGATGCCGGCGTGACCCGGCCCCATCGCTTGCCTTCCAGGACCCGGCCGTGAGCTTCTCCTGCAAGCAGGCGCTGATCCGCGTGCTGAGGCCCCGGAACAAGCGGAGGCACGTGACGCTGCCCTCCTCCCCCCGCAGCAACACGCCCATGGGTGAGGAGACCTTCGCCGTCGCCCGTGGGCTCGTGCCGCTGGCCCACGCGGCCCTCTGGCCTCCTTGCCGGGCTCTTCGGAGGAGCCCTCGAACCTCCTGGGGGCCTCGATCCGCCCGTCCTCGGCCCAGCATTCGCAGGCTTCACTTTGGCGCGGATTTTCTTAGGGTCGGCAGGCAGGGCTGTGCCTTTCTCGGGCTCCCAGAGCCACAGGGCGGGGTGGTCCCTTGGAGCCTTGCCGGGACCCTGGCACGCCTCGTATCAGTTCGGAAGAGCGGCAGGGCGAGTCTCCCTGGAGCTGCGGAGTGGGGGGGTTGCAGGCTCCCTTTGCCTCCACTGTGTGCATTTGGAGTCCGGATCCCGGCCTCGCTTCCATTCCCTTTTCAAGAGACGCAGCCTCCCTTCGCCGTGGCCAGCCCCTGAAGCTGCCTCAGCTGGCTGCCTGCCTGCCTGGCTGCCTGCCTGCCTGGATCGGGGCCTTCAGCGCCTCGCCCGCTGGGCGCATGGCCCAGCCGAGGGCGGGCACCGGGCGACCCCGGGGCTGCAGCCGTTGTCCTGGCTGCGGGGAACCGACACCGCCTCTCCTCTCCTCTCCGCAGGAGATAAAGACGACTATGACGACGACGATGCCGACGACAAGATGCAGAGCTCCGGGATACCGACCAGCGAGGACATCCGGCAAGAAAGCCAGGAGCAGAACGAGGTGGACCATGGGGATTTTGAGATGGTGGTGAGTCCTGCAGGTGCTTCCGGGTGGCCATCGGCCTGCAGAAAACTCGGGCGGCCTGACCAGGCCGACGAGGTCCGGTAAGGACACACAACTGCCCTAGTGATGTATGTATATATCCGATTATAAAGGTTCAAGCTCCCTTTCAGCCGAAACCTAATGCTGTAGAACCTTTGAGGCAGCTTCCCATGGGAACTTGGACCATGTGGAACGCAGTTTAAGGAAAGCGTTCTTTCCTGGTTCTTCGGGTGTTTTTAATATCAAATTATTTATTTCTGCTTGCCACCCTAATGGGCTGTCTGATTCTGAGCTAGGACTAGGTCCGGAACATTTTTCTTTGGCTTTAGATATTTTTTGGAGTGGCTTGAATTATTTTGGGTCCTTTGCGTGCAAAAACCCGTGGCATCCATACAAGCAGGCCCTCCCGCATCAGCCCGCCTCCTTCTCCCTAGTCCGAGTCGATGGTGTTGGAGACGGCGGAGAACGTGAACAACGGCAACCCGTCCCCCCTGGAAGCGCTGCTGGCGGGGGCGGAGGGCTTCCCCCCAATGCTGGACATCCCCCCCGACGCGGACGACGAGACCATGGTGGAGCTGGCCATCGCGCTGAGCCTGCAGCAGGACCAGCAAGGTGAGGCGCCTGCGGGCCGCGGACGCCGCTTGCCGGGCGGGTGGTCCCGATCCGAGTCCGAGAGCCCCAGCCGGAGTGCCATGCCAGGGCCGGCCCTGCAGGCCAGACCGGGCACCTGGGACATGCCCCAGCGGTGCTGCTTGGCTCTGGCCCCAGGGGTGTCGCCGCCCCCGGGCAGGACTTGGAAGGCCCCACCGGGGGGGTCTTCGTTCCCTCGGGAGGGGAGGGGAGGGGAGGCCTGCTGGGTTGAACAAAGGAGGTTGGGAAAGGCGGAGCGTCGAGGCCCAAATGGGGGGCGCCACTCTCACTCGCTGGTCCCAAGCGCCCCCCTCGGTGTGGAGAGGTGTTGGGGCCGGGTGGCAGCCGGGCCGGGGTGCTGGCCGGGAAGAGGGGGGCCCTCTTGTGGAGGGGCTGACCAGCTCCTGTCCTCCCCCCCCCCCCCCCCGCAGGGAGCAGCAGCAGCGCCCTGGGCCTGCAGAGCCTGGGCCTCTCCGGCCAGGCCCCGAGCTCCTCCTCCCTCGACGCGGGGACGCTGTCGGACACCACGGCATCAGGTAACTGCTCCCAGCGTAGACCAGCGCTTTCTCCGGGGACGGGTCCTGCCAGTGCCGCCACGCTCGGTGCGGGGCGCTTGTTCCTCTCGGGGCCCAGCCCTGGGCGCTGCACCCCCTTCCTTGCCAGGGCCGGATCCGGTCCAGGAGGGTCTCCAGTGGGCCGCATCCTCCTCCCTCTTGCCCTCGGTTTGTTGGCTTCCGGGCTTTTGCGCCGTTTCCCCCCATGGAAACTCCTCAGCTTAGCGACGGGTGTTTGGGTGGGTGGTTTCGGGCCTGCCTTCTGGCTCTCTTCACCGCTGGAAGGCGATCCTTGGACTCTTCTCCAAGGTGGGCTTTGCCCTCGGGCTGGAAGTGTGCACGGTGGGGGGCGCCCAGCCCTTCCATTGAGCTGCAGCGAAACCTGATTTTTGCTTGTGCGAGAACCAGCTCAAACGCAGAAAACGCCGTGCTCGATCTGCACACGGGGCCCGAGTGCAAGGCAGGCTGGCAGGGAGGGCGGCCTCGCTCCTCTCCCGCCTCCCTCAGGGCCTGCCCCTTCTCAGGCGCTGTGCTTTTGCTTGCCTGGACTCGGGACTAGAGCTTTATAGCCACCCCCCCCCAAGATTTACCAAGTGCCCGAAAGAATCGGCCAGCGGATGCTTGCATGCTGAAAGTCCTTCTCTCGCGCTTCCGCGTCCGAGTTGTTGAAAGACTGTGTTTTTACTTGTAACAGCTCTCCTTACTCTCTTAGCTCCAGCTTCCGATGACGAGGGAAGCACGGCGGCAACGGACGGCTCCACCCTCCGGACCTCCCCGGCTGACCACGGGGGCAGCGTGGGCTCGGAGAGCGGGGGCAGCGCCGTGGACTCGGTGGCCGGCGAGCACAGCGGTAATGCTGATCCCCCCCCTCCGGGCGAAGTCTCCCGCCTGCAGCGGCGGGGCTGGGGAGGGCCCTCCCGGACGCGTCCCTTTATCGGACCCTCCGGTTGCGCACGGGGGCCCCCCACCCGCCCCCTCGTTGGGTGGCGCACAGAGAGCGCCCTCTGTCTCCGTCTCGCTTGGCGCCTTCCTCCTCAACCGGTCGGCTCAGCCTTGGCCCTGAAGGGCAAGACGGAGCGTGCATGGCCTGACCCCACTAAGCCCCTCTTTGACGTGCCCGTTTCAAGTCGGCTGCCGGTCAGAGTCACGAGGACTAGAATCTTGCTCTGTCATTCGAAGGGCCCAAGCTCAGTGGTGGTGCAGGGCAGGAGGAGGGTGGCAGACCCGGGCTGTGGGTCCCCCGAGCGTCCTCTGAGGGGCTGGCTGCGTGATGGGGAGCCCCCTGCACAAATCTTCAGGCGCACCCTTCTGGCGCGTCTGAAATCTGGGTGGGCAGTTTGCTCTCGGCCCCTGGGATGCCCGTCTGGCGGCCGTGCCCGAGGGGGCGCTCACCCTTGCTCTGCTCTGCTCTGCTCTCAGTGTCCGGCCGCAGCAGCGCGTACGGAGACACCGCCGCTGAGGGCCACCCCGCCGGGCCCGGGAGCGTCAGCTCCAGCACGGGTGCCATCAGCACCACCACCGGGCAGCAGGAGGGGGAAGGCTCCGAGGGCGAGGGCGAGGCGGAAGGAGACGTCCACGCGAGCAACAGGCAAGCCCCCTCCCGTGCGGCCTCCCCGGGCTGGGCTGGGCTGGGCTGGGCCGGGCTGTCGGGGCGGGAAGGGCACTGGGGCCGGGCCCACGCCGCCCTCCTGGCTCCCTGCGGCGTTTCTCCTCGGGCGGCAGCTTGCTGGGCTGCTCCTCGTGATGGCGCGTCCCCGGCCGCCCCGGCTGCTGTGGGGCAGGGTCCGGGCGCAGAGGGCGGTGGGAGTGGAACCTTCCTTCCCACCGATGCGGGTGCGGTCGGCGTGCGGTCAGGAGCCGCTCGCCAGCCCGGCCCAGTCCGCGCCCCCACCTTCCTCCTCCGCCCTTTCAGGCTGCACATGGTGCGACTGATGCTGCTCGAGCGGCTGCTCCAGACCCTCCCACACCTGCGCAACGTCGGCGGCGTCCGCGCCATCCCCTACATGCAGGTAGCCGGCGTGGGAGCGCCTTCAGAGCCCCCGTCTTGCTTTCCGCGTGTGTCTCTCTTCCCGGCCCCCTCCCCCCCGCCAGCCCCCATCTGACTGTCTTCCCTGGCCTGGCGCCCTCCGGATTCAGCCCCATCAGCCCCAGCTGCCCGGCCAGAGAGCACGGGAGTTGTTGTCCCAAACCTCTGAAGGACATCAGGTGTCCTGCCCCTGTGTGTGCTCGCTGCGTGGCTCCCCCCTTCTCTCTGAAGCTGGCCATGGCCGGCACGCTGCCCCGGATGCCAGCCGGGACTGGCCGCCCCTTGGCGGCTTCCACAGAGCTGCAGAAGGGCTGCCTCTACCCGTCTTGCCTGCCCAGGTCTCTCTGGAATGCAGAGCCTGGGACTGGGGCCACCTCGGCCTGCCCGTTTCCTGCCTTTACCTTGTCCCTCTGGGTGGCCTTGCCCAAATAGCAAGGCGCCCTGTGAAGAGTCGGAAGGGCAGCAGCCCCGCAACCGTCCCTTCTGCTCCTGAAGCCCCGGTTGTTGCCAAGCGTAGTGGCTTGAAGTCGCTGGCTTCGGCGTCTTCTCAGGGTGACCGTGGTCGACGGTCGGCGGCGGCGGCATCGCAGGCGGCGGTTTCTGGGGGGGGGGCACCGCCGTGAGGTCGCGGAGGCTGTTGGCGGGGACACCGCGGTCCTCGGCCTCTTGCATCCCACAACACACCTGTGCTGCAGGTGATCCTGATGCTCACGACAGACTTGGATGGCGAGGACGAGAAGGACAAGGGCGCCCTGGACAACCTGCTTGCGCAGCTCATTGCAGAACTGTGCATGGACAAGAAGGTATTTTGGGAGGGGAGCGGAGGGGACAGAACAATTGAAGTGGGACTGACGCGTTTAAAGTCCTGAATGAGGCCCAGTGGAGGAGCAGGGCTGATTTTCCTGGGCGCTCGACATTTATCCTCCAGCTCCCAGGGTTTGGTTTGGATGGGATGGGCCTGAGATCTTGCCCTGTTTGATTCTGAGGACCACCCGTTCCTCTCTTCCCTCCCTCCCCGCCGCCATTCTCTAGGACGTGTCCAAGAAAAATGAACGTACTGCCCTGAACGAAGTCCACTTGGTGATCATGAGGCTGCTGAGCGTCTTCATGTCCCGGACCAAGTCGGGCTCCAAATCATCCATTTGCGAGGTACTGAAATCTTCGATCTGTTGGGTCACCTGTGTCGGAAGAACGGGTCACCCCAGGCGAGCATGCACGTGCCGGGCAGAGGCGGAAAGGCGTTCCTAAGCAGTCCCACTAACCAAGAGAGCAGGGGCCAGAGGAGTTTTATGCCGCCGGACGTGGTCAGACCTCTCTGGGCAGCTGCCCCGTGACCTTCGACTTTTCCAGCACCTGCCCTGGAGAAGTCCCCCTGTGCTGCTTCGCCCTCAAGGGAGGTGGGGGTATCTCTGGAGTAAATTGCACACACAAGAGAACTTCCCAGTCGCGCCCCACGGGCAGTGCCGGTTCACCCCCCCATCTCCTCCCTTCCCTGTTCCACTCCAGTTTGGCCTCCCCAGCCACTCCGGGAGCCAGAGGGCCATGGCGCAGCCAGAGGTACTGCCGAATGCAGTCCCGGTTTGGGCGCTGGGATTAAAGTTAGGCTCCCGAAGTCGGACTTCAGCTGTGAGCCCCCAGCAGCCGGGACCCCAAAAGAAGGCCCTGCCGAGGTTCCACAAGCACCCGTGGGTGCCCCACTTGGCAGCGGAGAGGCTGGCAGGGGAGCCGGGGCTGCACCCCCCACGGAGGGCAGGGCCAGTGCGCCCCCCCCCCCCCAGTCAGGCAAGCTGTGGGGAAGGCACCTGGCTTGGGGCCCGGTTCAGCACGATGGACAGCGCCCAGGCAGCTCCGGCCGAGGCTCCTGGGAGCAGCTCTGCTGAGCTGTGGAAGCTGGCCACCGGAGCCCACGCCGCTCCGGGGTGGTTTTTTAATCCCGTGTAGAGAGGGAGCAGGGAAGAGAGCGAGCGCGTGCACGAGAGACGTGTTTACAGGGGGCGGCTCTTTTGAACCAGGCACTCTTGGGTGGGGGAGGCAACAGAATAGCCGTTTTTTAAGCCTAATCTCCCCCGCCACACACGCCAGGGGGCCCTGAGCTGAGGATTAGGCGAGCGAGATTCCTCCCACACCCCCTTTTCCTTCTATTTAAAAAAATGGGGGGAAGTTGAAGTTCTGTCTGTTTCTCTGGAGTGTGGCCAGCTGTGGGAGAAGGGGCCGAAAGGTCCTCGTGGGGAGAAGCGGCCCCTGCGCATGGGGGAGAAGCCCGCCTCTTGCACCCGAGCGCCTCCTGCTGAGGGCCACACGTCCGCATGGCGCGAGCCGACCTTTGTGGGTCGGATGAGCGGCGGCGGCGGCAGCGACCCAAAAAGGGGGCCGGTGAACGCGCGAGTGTAAATAAAACCATTAAGAGCAACTCCAAACAAACCCCACAGCTCATAAGCTCATTAAAATCCGATGCACTTCGGTCTCCATTTTTAACCTCTGCGCTTTTGTTATTAATCTTCCTTCCTCGGCACACGCGGGTTTTGGCATCTCCCTCTTCTGTTTTAAAAAAAGCCTTGATGCACCTTTGAGTAACAAGGCAGTAGCAGAATCCTCTTAAAGATTTTGAAACGTTGGCCCCGCTTCCCTGCAATCACAGCTGCACATGCCGGCCCCGGCCCCGGCCCCTGCTCCCCTTTTAGCCCCTTCGTCGGCAGCCGATGGGGGCAGTCCAGGGGCTAAGCGTGGTTACGGCTGTGTCCCCGGGTGTTCTGGCCGTTTCCACTTGCGCCAGAGTGGCTGACCCCCAGGATGCCGGCCTGGCTTTGGCCCTCGAGAATCCCTGGCGATTCCCTGTTCGGTTTCTGCACTGTCTTCCCCATCCCTTTTAGAAGTCCGAAATGCCTCTCCTAAAGCTTAGTTACTGGCATAAGTCTTTCATGCTGCAGAACACCCGTAAATTTCAATATTTTGGCCCCACCTTTGGTCACCTTCGTCCCCGTCCCCTGCCGAAACCTCTTTGCTCTCCAAATGTACACAAAGTCCTATGAAAATCAAGCCGAGAAAATCAAAGGAGCGGCCCTTCCTTTCCCCCCCACGCCTGTAAGGTCGGGTCAACAACTTGCCCTGGGGGACGAGAGGCGTGGGGTGGGGTGCGCCCGGGTCCCATCCCCCGAGGCTGGGAGGAATCTTGGCCAGGTTTCCCCCGTGCGCTCCGCTGCTTGGAGCCCCGGTGCCTCGCTGCTGGGCCCCCCGAGCGCGTGCGAGGAAAGGCCTAGCGACCAGTGCCATGCCTGTCTCCCCGCAGTCCTCCTCCCTGATCTCCAGCGCCACGGCCGCTGCCCTGCTGAGCTCCGGCGCCGTGGACTACTGCCTGTACGTGCTGAAGTCCCTGCTGGAGTACTGGAAGAACCAGCAGAACGAAGAGGAGCCGGTGGCCGCCAGCCAGCTGCTGAAGCCGCACACCAGCGCCTCCCCGCCGGACATGAGCCCCTTCTTCCTGCGGCAGTACGTCAAGGTGAGCCACCGCCGGGGCCCCCCGTGCCACGTGCTGTCCTGGGCGCAGCCCGGAGGGCGAGAGAGCGCCCGTTCCCCCAGCGAAGCGCACCCGGGTTGCTACTGCCCAGCCCGACGGCTAAATCCCCCTTTAGAGGGTCCTGCAGGGCACAGTCAGTGCTGGGAAGCGCCGTGCCCACCCCAAACCGCCCAAGCATCCGTGTCTCTCCCGGGCCGAGCGGGGCCTCCTCCGAAGGGGTCAGAGAACTCTGAAGGACGCGCCTCCCACCGGTCGGTGCCTTGCAGGCAGCTGACAGGCGGGAGGACCCCTTGCGGCTTCCGGCGGGCTGGCGGGGACGGATTTGCCAGCTTAATTCCTAGGCCGCTGCAGCCACTGTGGCGCCTCCTTTATTTTCCGTGCCTCGCGGTGCCGCGTTTTACTTGCTGCCTGGGTGCAGCACAATGGAAATAAGCCGAATTAAACATTAGGGTGCGCTTTGCTGGAAGAATGGGGCCGCTCAAGCTCTTAAGGCCTGCGGTGGGGACTGCCGCGCTAAGCAGCCCCTCGTATTCCTTCCCCTCGGAGGGGCCCGCTGTTCCCACACAGCTCTTGTCAGTCAGGAGTCGGGCGTTCCTCGCCTTGCCTTTTCTTCCTTGCTGCTTGGCGGCGGTGGTGGCCGATTGTGCGTGGGATCGGCCCCAGCGGAATGCGGCTCTTCCCTCTTTCCATTATGGGGAAATAGCCCCGCTTAATACCGCTTTACTCCCAACCGTGGGAGCGTTTTCCGTGAGCAGCGGCCTGCGAAAACGTGCCATGAATCTGCTCGGGAATGGCAGCCTTTGCCGGCCGTGCATTTTCGGGGGCTTCCCACCACGGAGAGCACCGGCCTTCCTTTGCACCCGTGCCACTGCAGCCCAGGAGAGCTCTAATGCTTCCGGGAAGACGTGCCCGGCACTCCTTCAGGTGGTGCCTCCTGAGGGTGGCCCGGAAAGGGGACTGCCAGGTGGCCCGGGCCCCCTCGAGCCGGAAACCGGCCCGTCTCCTGGGCTTGCGGGGCGCTGCTCACGGGGCTCTGCTTGCCCCCGCCCAGGGCCACGCTGCCGACGTCTTCGAGGCGTACGCCCAGCTCTTGACGGAGATGGTGCTGCGGCTGCCCTACCAGATCAAGAAGATCGCCGACACCAACCCGCACATCCCCCCGCCGGTCTTCGACCATTCCTGGTTCTACTTCCTGTCGGAGGTGGGTGAGCACCTCTGTCGCCGGAGAGGGCAGCGGCCTGCCCCCCCCCCCCAGTGCATCCCCTCCCGGGCCCCGTGTGGGCCGCTGTGCTGTCTGAACTCCCCCGAGGAGGGTGGTGTGAGCAGCGGGGCCCAGGCGGGCTGCAGGGGGCCCCGCTCCGTGCCTCCCGGAGGGCCCCGTGTGGCGCCTCCTGGGCCGTTCGCAGGCTGACGTGGGTGGCGCTCGGCTGCCTGGCAGGCCCCCAAGTGACCCGCCTCTTCTCTTCTCTCTGCCTCCTCTGCCCCGCAATCCAGTACCTGATGACCCAGCAGACCCCGTTCGTGCGCCGGCAGGTCCGGAAACTCCTGCTCTTCATCTGCGGCTCCAAGGAGAAATACCGGCAGCTCCGGGACCTGCACACCCTGGACTCCCACGTCCGCGGCATCAAGAAGCTGCTGGAGGAGCAGGGCATCTTCCTGCGGGCCAGCGTGGTCACCGCCAGCTCGGGCTCCGCCCTGCACTACGACACACTCATCAGCTTGGTAGGCCCCCTTCCCCGAAAGGCGTGCGAGGCCGTCGCCTCCATCGCGCCCAGGGGAGCCGTGGTCCGGGTGAAGTCGCCCTGTTGAAGTCGCCCGCGTCCCAAAGGTGGGAGCAGCCCTGCCCGCCCCCCATGACCCCTTCCGTGTCCCTTTCAGATGGAGCACTTGAAGGCCTGCGCAGAAATCGCCACCCAGCGAACGGCCAACTGGCAGAAGTTCTGCATCAAGGATGACTGTGAGTCGCTTTTCTGGCAGGCTGCCGCCGAGGGGCACCGCTGGGGCGGAAACGCTCTCAAGTGGAGCCCAGATGCTCAACCCTAATCCCCCCACTCCCTTCCCTGCTCACCGTAGCTTAAGAGCGCGACTCGGCTCGGAAGAGCCATGTCAAGTACGGTCACAGAGCCCTGGGCCCCGGCACCAAACCCGGCCAGGGGGTCCCACCTCAGGGCTGTCCCAATGCCACCCCCCGCCCCGTTGGGTTTTGCCTTGCATTTTTCCCAGTCCAGAGGGGTACGATGCCTCTCCTCCAGCAGTCGCTGCCAATAGCGACCGGCTGTTTGGAAACAGAGAACCAGAGTGAGTCGCAAGGAGCCTGCCAGGCCATCGAATTCATTAAAATTCTACCCTGCCCATTTTGCCTCTGGCCCCACCCACCACCGCAGTGCGGCCCGCGGGCGAAAGACCTCCTGCACCCCTGTTGCCCAGGCTCGGGCATTTCCGCTGCTTCCGAAGGCCCTTTGCCTGGGGGCAGGGCAGGGGCGAGGGAATCGGGGCCTGGCCTGGAGCAGCCGTGGGAGCAGAACCATGAGGCAGCAGATCCCCGTTTCGAACGCTTGCTGCCTCGGCGGTTCTTGCCCGCGGGGCCTCGCGGCCGCTGACCACAGAGATGCGAGCTGCTGAAGGCCGGAGGAGGAACGGCCGGCCCCTGGAAACACGTCCCTGCGAAGCTGGCGGCAGCGGCCATCCCGTGCTTCTTGCCGGCCATGTGCTGCCGCAGCTCTCGCCCCAGAGAGATCCTGCAGGCGGAAGGCCGACGCGACCGTCTCTCTCCCCTCGCCAGCGGTCCTCTGCTTCCTCCTGCAAGTCAGCTTCCTGGTCGACGAGGGGGTGTCGCCGGTCCTCCTGCAGCTGCTCTCCTGCGCCCTGTGCGGCAGCAAAGTCCTCTCGGCCGCCTCGTCCTCGGGCTCGTCTGGCGCGTCCGGCTCGGCCTCCGCCGGCACGGGGGCCGGGCAGCCCGCCGGGCAGAGCAAGGCCTCCACCAAGAAGAGCAAGAAGGAGGAGAAGGAGAAAGACCGCGAGGGTGAGCGGAGGGGCGTGAGGACTGCCTCGGCCGGCCCCGTGCCGTGCCTGTGGCCATGGCCGGGCCCGCGGGAGCCCCGGTGGCGCCGCCTCATCCCCCACCTGTGCCTCGCAGGGGACGGCTCTTCCGGCAGCCAGGAGGACCAGCTCTGCACGGCGCTGGTGAACCAGCTGAACAAGTTCGCCGACAAGGAGACCCTGGTGCAGTTCCTGCGCTGCTTCCTGCTGGAGTCCAACTCCTCATCTGTCCGGTGGCAGGCCCACTGCCTGGCGCTGCACATCTACCGGTGAGCGTGGGGGAGCTCCGTGCCCGTGCCCCCTTCCCTGGGCCTCCCGCAGCGCCTTAGAGCCGGCGTCACTCAGCAAAAAGCGAGACAAAATCCTCTGCCCAGGCAGCCCCCCACTCCTCTCCTCTCCTCTCCTCTCCTCTCCTCTCCTCTCCTCTCCTCTCCATCCTTATCCTCGCAAGAACAGCCCTGCAAGGTAGCTTAATCTGAGAGTCAGCAATTGGCCCACAGCCGCCCCAGATCCTCGGGGCGTGAACGAGGACCGCAACTCGGACCGCCCCAGCCCAGCCCCACGCCACCCCGTGCTTCCGCCACATGCCCCCGGCCCTGTCGCTCATCAGGGAATGCTCAGCTGCATAATCTTGAGCCTCCCCAGCCCAGTGCCTTCCAGATGGGCCGGGCTGGGCCGGGCCGGGCCAGGCGGCAGCTTCCATCTTCCCTAGCCGATTCCCATCTTCCTCTGCAGGAACTCCAGCAAGTCCCAGCAGGAGCTGCTGCTGGACCTCATGTGGTCGATCTGGCCCGAGCTCCCGGCCTACGGGCGGAAGGCTGCCCAGTTCGTGGACCTGCTGGGCTACTTCTCTCTGAAGACGCAGCAGACCGAGAAGAAGGTAAGGGCCCCGTTGCGAGGACCCCCCGGACCCCCCTCCGGCTTGGCTGGGGTCCTTCGGGCACTGGCTGCAGTTGCAAGAGTTGGCGCAGGGTGGCCGGCATTGGCATGGGCACACGGGGGGACTGGTTCCCAGAGAGCTCAGCCCTCCTTCCCGGAAGCCCCCGGGACACCCTCGCTGCGAGCCAGGTGCACGCCAAGGGCACGAACGGCGAGCTCAGCGCCATCCAGTAGGGCTGAGTGCGGGACCCGGACCTCCTGATTGCTTCTAGCCTTGGCAGCCCCTGGTTCTGTGGCACTGCAGCTCCCATCTTCCCCAGCCAGCACAGGCCCTGGGCGGAGCGATGGGGATGGCTGGCCCTTGGCTCTGTGCATTTTCGATCGCGTTGGCCCCGCCTGCCCTCTCGGAGGCGTCTCGCGAAGCGCTCCAGGCGTGCCCGGGACGCAAAGGTGTGGCCGGAGGAGGAGGACTTGTCCCGGCTGTGACGGTTTCCTCTCTGCTCTCTCCGACTCGTTCCAGCTGAAGGAATATTCGCAGAAGGCCGTGGAGATCCTGCGCATGCAGAACCACATCCTCACCAACCACCCCAACTCCAACATTTACAAGTGTGTGTCTCCCCGGCCCACCTTCACCCGGAAGGAGGCACGGGGGCGCTCTCATCCGGACCTTGCTGCATGTCCCAGTGGCCCAGGGTGGGGGCAGCCAAGCCCGGCATAAGAGAAGCCCTGCTGGTTCAGCCCACCCAGGAGCCGGGACTCCGGCCACCCCAGGCCCTCGGTCATCAAGGGCGGGGCTGGCGGGACAGGTTTCCACAAATCCGGAGGGCTCTGGGGAGATCGGTCGGGGAAGGCTGCTGCAGCCGATGCTCCAGGGTCAGCGGCCATGCGGCTGGGAAGGCCGGGTGCTGGGGAGGCACTGGCCCCTGGGGTGGGGAGGGCTGCCGCCTTCGTCCCTGGAGGCCTTCCGCTGTCCCCTGCTGGAAACAGGCTGCTGGGCAGAGCTGGGCCCCGATCTGGCTGGGCTGTGCTCGCCCGTGACCTGGGCTCAGGCTCGGCTTTCCCCGCTTCCAGCACCCTCTCCGGCCTGGTGGAATTCGACGGCTACTACCTGGAGAGCGACCCCTGCCTGGTCTGCAACAACCCGGAAGTGCCCTTCTGCGTAAGTGCCCCCCCCCCGCGCGTGGGTGCCAGGCCGCCCCGGGCCGGCGGCCACCTTTGCCGACGCCTGGCCTCTCCCCCCGCAGTACATCAAGCTCTCCTCCATCAAAGTGGACACCCGCTACACCACGACCCAGCAGGTGGTGAAGCTGATCGGCAGCCACACCATCAGCAAGGTGACCGTGAAGGTCGGGGACCTGAAGCGCACCAAGATGGTCCGGACCATCAACCTCTACTACAACAACCGGACGGTGCAGGCCATCGTGGAGCTGAAGAACAAGTAGGGGGCTCCTCCGGGCAGGTGGGCGGGCGGGCGGGGGGCTCGTGCAGCGGGGGGGCCTCATTGCTGCGGCGCTGTGGGGAAGGCCGGGGCCGAAGGCGAGGCTCTCGCAGGGGGATCGTACCAGCCTTTTCAAATGGGGAAAAGCCGCGAAGGCACAGCTAGCGGGAGGAGGCGTGGCCCTGGGGAGCCCGGTGGGCTGGGTTTGCCCCCCCGGCCACGGCCCTGCCCCTGGGGCAGTTGGGCCGGCCAGAAGGCTGTGGAGGCGAGGAAGGCCCCTCTCTCAAGGGAACCAGGCCCTGGTGTGTGCCGTGCGTGGAGGGCCGCCGGGCTGCGGTTCCTGTTCACCCCTGCCCACAGGCTCTTGGGCCACGGGGTTCGTCACATATCCACGGACGCGCTCCCGAGCCGGGCTGCTGGTTCTCCTGCTCTCGCCCCGGGCCAGAGGGGAGCGTCCGTCTGCAGCAGCGCCCTCGACCCCCCCCCCCACGCCTCTACAAAATAGCCTTGCAGAGCAGCAAAAGAAGTTAGAATCCTAAAGAGAAGGGGCGATACTTACACAAGTAGACCCAATTATATATACACACACATTTTTCCCCCATGAGGCGTTGAAGGCTCTCTAATCCGAACAGCCTTGCTGTGGAGGGGATAAGGGCTTAGAATGTGTTTCTGGCTGCCTATCGTGTCGACACAGACGCACGGAGGCTCCCGAAGCCGGTCCGCGTTCAGCCTGGGTAAAGGAGATTTTCGGCCGAGCCGCAGCGCTCGGCTGGCGGGGGCGAGCTGGCGGGGTCCTGCCCTGCTGCCGAACGACCGCCCTCCTGTGTCCCCCCGCCACTTTGCTCCAGGCCGGCCCGCTGGCACAAGGCCAAGAAGGTGCAGCTCACCCCGGGCCAGACGGAGGCGAAGATCGACCTGCCTCTGCCCATCGTCGCGTCCAACCTGATGATTGAGTTTGCCGACTTCTATGAGAACTACCAGGCCTCCACGGAGACCCTGCAGTGCCCACGGTGCAGCGCCTCCGTCCCGGCCAACCCCGGCGTGTGCGGGAATTGCGGCGAGAACGTCTACCAGTGCCACAAGTGCAGGTAGGCGGGCGAGATGCTCCCCGTGAGCGAGAAGCGGCTCCCGGGCAGGAGCCCTGGCAACCATGCCTGTGTTGAGCGTTCACACAGGACACCTCGTTTCCTGAGGCACTTCACGCGTAACGTTAAAACCCCCACGCTCAAAACCCCTCTAAAATCACGCGAGGAAGAACCGTGTCAACTTCAGGACCAATAAAAGGGTGCTTTCCTGGGGATCGGTTCTGAGCCAGAAAGAAAGCCCGCGTTGGCGAGCGCTTTTTCGGGAGATGTTGCAAACACGCTGTTTCCCTGCCTTGCGGCGGCATCCTGGGAAGGCCCCGCTCCCGAGGTGCCGCGTCCTGTGGGTTGTGCAGCGACCAGCAGGGGCTCTTCGGAAGTTGTCCAAGGCCCTGTGCGTGGCCCTGGAGGCAGCCGGCCGCCTGCATTCCGCGGCCCCATGCTGCTGGGGGTGGGTGTTGTATGGCGAGATTTTACGGACGAGACCAGAGACTGGCTGGAATTATCGAGAGAGATTTATTTTTACCTGCCGGCAGGGACCATGCACTCGTGAGAGAGTGGTAGCAGGCAGAGGAGAGACATTTGATTTTTATACTCTTTTACACTTATGCTTGAATGACAGCGAACAATAGGGGAACAACAGAGAAACAATAGGGGAGAGCACCTTTTGCCCATTTACCATGCAAAAGCAAGCAAGCGTGGGTACGAGGGCATAACGTCTGCGGTGATACTGGCAATGCTGGAGCGTAGCCTGCTTTGTCGTCAGCTTTGCGCAGCGTGCACATCCGTGTTCGTGTGCTTGTTCTCATGCGAACAGGACACCCTGATACTCGTGATGAGCCACGCCCTGGCTACGTGCTTGATTATGAGGGGGGTTACAACAGTGGGTGATGGCTGGCCTTCCGGGGCGGCTCGTGAGCCCGGCGTGGGGCAGCCTCCTGCCCCGACCACACACTGGCGGGGCCCCAGCCAGGCTGCCGCGGGTGCCCGGCGGCGTCCCGCTCCTCTCGCGCGGGTGCCCCTCTGTGCCGGGCCCCCGTCCGGGGACCCCGTGCCGCTCGTGGCGCGTACGGGTTGGCCTCCCAGGCCCGGAGCGGCCGCCCCTCTGAGCGCCCGGAATGCCCCCGCTGACCGGCCCCGGTGTCGCTTCGCAGGTCCATCAATTACGACGAGAAGGACCCCTTCCTGTGCAACGCCTGCGGCTTCTGCAAATACGCCCGCTTCGACTTCATGCTGTACGCCAAGCCGTGCTGCGCCGTGGACCCCATCGAGAACGAGGAGGACCGGAAGAAGGTGGGGCCCGCGGCGGGGCAAGGACCCCCGCCCAGCGGCTGCTGCGGGTGCCTCCGCCCGCCCGCCCTCCCCTCAGTGCCCGGAGGCTGGGCCCCCTCCCTTCCCTTTCGCCCCTCGTCCCAATCCCAGCGGGAGGTGCTCTCCGCTGTCACCCGGCCGTCTGGGGCTGGGCGGGCCGTGACCCAAGTCCCGGGCTTGGCCGGTGGGTGAACAGATGGACCCCAGGCCGGTTCGGGGGCTGGGCCCGGGCCCCAAAGCCAGGCTCCTTCCCACGTGCGGGTCGCTTGCTCGCTTTGCCACCTTTCTCTCCCTCCCTGCCTCTCGTCTGTGGGCGCAAAGCCCAGGCGGTTCCCTGCGTGCGAGGGTGCTGTGGACGCGCAGGCCGAGTAACGCGCGTTCTGTGTCGTCTGCTTCGAAGGCGGTGACCAACATCAACGCCCTCCTGGACAAGGCCGACCGCGTGTACCACCAGCTCATGGGCCACAGGCCCCAGCTGGAAAGTCTCCTCTGCAAGGTGAACGAGGCGGCGCCCGAGAAGCCCCAGGTAAGGGAACTGCCTTTGCGAGCCGCCGGGGGTGGGGGGGGGTCCCTTGGAGGGGGTTGGGGTGGGCAGGCTCCGTTCCGCCCTGCCCAGAGGCAGGATCTCCCAGGCTGTTCATCACAGTGACCCGGAAATGCCATGTGAAGCGCATGCGCACGCCAGCTCTGCGTGGGCCCAGATTCGTGCCGCTGCCGCGGCTTCTCCTCCCCTCTGCGACCCTGAGCCATCGTGGGGTTCGCTCTCCGAACGAGGCCCCCGCTGCGGCCCGGAGCCAGCTGAGCTGCCCGGTCAGGGTGTGGCGCTTGCTGCTGCCTCCCTTGTGGGGGAGCCTCTATGCACCCACTTCCCCCCTCCGCAGCTAACCTCTGGGTTGCTTCCCCCCCCCCCCGGTGTTTCCAGGATGACTCCGGCGGCAGCGGGGGCATCAGCCCCACCTCGGCCAGCGTGAACCGGCACATCCTGCAGCTGGCCCAGGAGTACTGCGGCGACTGCAAGACCTCCTTCGACGAGCTCTCCAAGATCATCCAGGTGAAGGTTCTCGGGCCTGCTGCGCAGTGTTGGGTTTTAGGCAAAGGTGTGCACCTCAGTCCCGGAAGCACGGAGTGCCTGCTCGGGGCTCCTGGTTGCTTTTGTGGCCTAAAAGAAAGCAGCACGGGTGTGTGAGTGGAAAGGCACTTGTGGGTGGTAGGGAAGGCTACTGTCCTTGAAAATGCGAAATATTCCTTCTGAAGATACTTCCTGGTTCTGCTTTTCTGCGTTTTCTATACCTCTGAGCAAGACTAAGGCCAAACTAGGTGCTCGATGTCCTTTTAAACCTTTCCTGTGGGTTGTAGGCCCAAACTTTTGGAAGGCCCCAGATCGCCTCCCCCCGAGGTTGCAGGACTCCAGGTTGCCAGGCACGGGGGTTGGGGGGCCTGTCCTCCGCCTGCACACCCGTCCCCTCGACTGAGGACAGCTTTGCCGCCCGAGGAAGAGGCGGCGTGCTTGCATCTGCTCACCGGGCAGGCGTGGGCGGAACGGCCCTCTCCAGCCCCGCTCAGGCCCCCCGTCTCTTGGCGGCCCGCAGAAAGTCTTCGCCTCCCGGAAGGAGCTGCTGGAGTACGACCTGCAGCAGCGGGAAGCGGCCAGCAAGTCCTCGCGCTCCGCCGTGCAGCCCACCTTCACGGCCAGCCAGTACCGGGCCCTCTCCGTCCTCGGCTGCGGCCACACGTCCTCCACCAAGTGCTACGGCTGCTCCTCGGCCGTCACCGAGCACTGCATCACCCTGCTCCGCGCCCTGGCCACCAACGCCGCCATCCGGCACATCCTCGTCTCCCAGGGCCTCATCCGGGAGCTCTTCGACTACAACCTGCGCCGCGGGGCCGCCGCCATGCGGGAGGACGTGCGCCAGCTCATGTGCCTCCTGGCCAGGTGCGGGGCTGGCTCGGCCATGGGGGGGGTGCGGGGCGGGGGGGGCGGTGCAGGGCTCCCCTTCCAGGCAGTGCTGCACTGCTGTTCCCTGCAGAATGGGCCCGGGCAGGCGTCGTGCTTTGGAATCGCCGGTCGGTCGTGAGGAGAACTGGCTCGGGCTGCAGCCTTCGCCAGTTTCCTCGGGTGGGGGCGGCCTGGCTCGTCCGGGGCTGCGTTCCCTCTTGGAGCCGTGCGGGGAGCCACGGGACGGGGGCGGGTGGCGTTTGCGGGTGGTGCGCCTGCGTCTGGTTCTTCAGGCGAGGACGGAGCCGCCTCCGCCGCGGGCGTGCCGTTCTCTCGAAGCGAACCAAATGGGGCCGGCGCCGATCGCACGGCAGCTGCCGGGCCACACCGCGGGATTCCTTCGTGGAGTTTCCCGTTGGTGTGGGACAGGGCAGGGGGCCGCCCCCGGCGAGTTTCGCGGGAGCCAGGGCGCGCTCCCTCTCGCTGCGCTGCAGGGAAGCGTGCGGCTGCTAACACTCCTGCCTCTGTGTCTTCACGCTGCCGGGAAACCAGGGACAACCCGGAAGCCACCCAGCAGATGAACGACCTCATCATCGGCAAGGTGTCAGCGGCGCTGAAGGGGCACTGGGCGAACCCCGACCTGGTAGGCGGAGCGGCCCCCGCGCCTCCTGTCCACCTGCCCTCCCTCCCTCCCAGGCCCGGGTTTGGGCAGGGCGCCCCGAACTCCCCGGGCTGGCTGAAAAGGCCCCAGTGGGGTTGCTTTGGCGTGGCAGAAGGCTCTGCTCCGAAGCCTTCCGGCGGCGGCTGGGGAGCTTCTCCCGGCAAGCCCAGCTCCGCGCAGCCCGAGCCTTTTGCAGCCCGTTGAACGAGCTCGCCGCTCAGCTGGCCGTTTCTGCCCCTCCCAGTAGTTCTTCCCATCAGGCACAGAGAATTACTAATGCAGAAGTCCCAGCAGGAAAGCCTTTACTGGGGCCAGCCCAGAGGTTGCCAAGGAGCGAGCGAGCGAGCGGCCACGGCCGTCGGGATCCCGTGGCCCACGCAGCACGGGGCTTGCCGCCCCACTCAGCCTCTGCTCCCCTTGCAGGCCAGCAGCCTCCAGTACGAGATGCTGCTGCTCACGGACTCCATCTCCAAGGAGGACAGCTGCTGGGAGCTGCGGCTGCGCTGTGGTGAGTCCGGCAAGCTGGAGCGGCCTGGCGGGGAGGCGGGCGGCCAGTTGGGGGAAGAGTTCCCCACCGCCGTGCGGTCCAGCTGCATGGAGAGCCCGCCTGGCTCGGGCTCTTCTCGTGCCGTGATGGATGACGATCCCCCCAGAGCTCGGCACGCCTGTCTGCAGCTGTCGGGCTGCTCCGGGCCGCCCTGACGCGCGCTTGCTCCCTCTTCAGCTCTCAGCCTCTTCCTGATGGCGGTGAACATCAAGACCCCTGTGGTGGTGGAGAACATCACCCTGATGTGCCTGCGCATCCTCCAGAAGCTGATCAAGCCGCCAGCGCCGACCAGCAAGAAGAACAAGGTACCCACCGCACGCTCGGCCGCTCCGGCAGATTCACCTGCCTGGAACATGCCTGGGGGAAAGCCCCCTCCATCCCTCCATCCGTCCACCGTCTTTACTGGGGGCCCTTCAGAGTTTCAGGGGAAGGGTGGGGGGGAGCTAGAGCCTCCCTCAGCAAAACGAAATCCTAGGCCCGTGTACCTGCGGGCGATGTGAGCACCTGTCTGTCGAGAACCCTAGAAGGTTGGGGCTGTTGCCCTGGCACCCCCGCTGTTGCAGGCGCATCTGTGGGGGACCTGAAGCATGGCCTTCTCGGGGGCCACCCGCAGGCCGCGGTGCCCCCTGACGAGGTCGCTCGGGAGCAGGTGCTGCTGATGGCGCTGCGTTTGTGGACCGCCCATAGCCAAAGCTCTCCAGGCGGCTCAGCACATTTCAGGTCGCCCATCTGGGTCGCAGCCGGACCCCGCCCTGCTTAGCTGCCAGGATGAGGCGGGATCCGTAGCCTGCAGGGCTACATGGGCATCCCCCGGAGTGCATTGTGGGCGTCTCCTTTTGCTCCGTAGGACAGCCCCGTCGACTCCCTGACCACCGTGAAGCCCTACAGCAACGAAATCCACGCCCAGGCCCAGCTGTGGCTCAAGAGAGACCCCAAGGCGTCGTACGAGGCTTGGAAGAAATGTCTCCCGGCCAGAGGTATGGCCGGCGCTGGCGGGGATTCCGTCCCCGGGGGCACCACCCCTCTGGCAGGGGCGGCCGCTTCCTGGTCGCCGGGGCTTTCCAGCTTTCGCCCCCGTTTTGCCCCTGTGCAAACGGAGCCGCTCTGGCTCGTGCACCGCCCGCCGGCCCCGCTGGAGCCCCCCCGGCCGCTCGCCCCACCCAGGCACAGCCCGAGGTTTCACCCGCAGGGATTCTCGCCTCCCCTTTAGGCATCGAGGCCGATGGGAAGTCGCCCAGCCGGACGGAGCTTCGCCACCTTTACCTGACCGAGAAGTACACCTGGAAGTGGAAGCAGTTCATGAGCCGCCGGGGGAAGAGGACCTGCCCCCTGGACCTCAAGCTGGGCCATAACAACTGGCTGCGGCAGGTGAGGCGCCCCCCGCACCTCTGGGGCGCGCTCTCTGTCTCAAATGAGTGGGTCTCGCCCCCTTGCCTGCTAGGGCGGGCTCGCCTCTCGCAGCCCCGAGGGCCAAGGGACTGAGGCTGGGAGGCCCGGCTTGCCCGTGTTGATGGCAATGGCCAGGCGGGAGACAGCGCCCTCCTGGATCACACCCGGGCGCTGGAGGCTGCCTGGCTGCACCTGGGCCCCCGCAGCCCGTGGACACGCTGCCTTCCCTCCGCCCCGTAGGTCCTTTTCACTCCCGCCACCCAGGCTGCCCGGCAGGCGGCCTGCACCATCGTCGAGGCGCTGGCCACCATCCCCAGCCGGAAGCAGCAAGTCCTGGACCTCCTCACCAGGTACGGTGCCGCAGGTCCCCGAGGGCGGGGGGGCCGGTGTCCCTCTGCAGCACCCGGCAGAGGAGCCCGGGCCCCACGCCCCCTCTGCCCCTGCCTCCGACGGGAGGAAGCCGCTCCCGCCCACGTGCCCACGCTCGGCCGGGGCCCCTCTCCTCCCTGGGCGGCTGTGACCGGCCGCTCTCCCCTCTTCCGACCAGCTACCTGGACGAGCTGAGCGTGGCGGGCGAGTGCGCCGCAGAATACCTGGCCCTCTACCAGAAGCTCATCAAGCCGGCCCGCTGGAAGGTCTACCTGGCCGCACGTGGCGTCCTGCCCTACGTGGGCAACCTCATCACCAAGGTGCGGAGCGAGCCCTCTGTGCGGGGCTGGGCAGGGCAGAGCCTGGGGAGGGCTGGCCGAGGCCCCGCGCCCCTTTCTGGAGGCACAGCTGGTGATCGGCAGAGGCGGTGGTCGTCCTGCAAGGGGCCGGGGTAAAGCTGAGCCACTGACAGGCGGAAGATCGGCACGTGCGTGGGAGATGGGGGACAGGGTGGCCCCCGGGTCCGAAGCGCTGCGCGAGCTCCCTGTGCCATGTCCCCCCCCCGCCCCGTCCCCCACCCCACACCTGTGCCATCATGCCTTGCCTTGCTAGGAGATCGCCCGACTCCTCGCCCTGGAGGAGGCCACGCTCAGCACCGACCTGCAGCAGGGCTACGCCTTGAAGAGCATCACCGGTACGTCTGGGCCGGGGCTGCCGGGAGGGCCCCCCCGGGCCCCGGGCCCCTGCTCCCTGCTCTGGCCGCCCCAGTGTGTGAAGGCGCTTCTCCCCGCAGGCCTGCTCTCCTCCTTCGTGGAGGTCGAGTCCATCAAGCGGCACTTCAAGAGCCGCCTGGTGGGGACGGTGCTGAACGGCTACCTGTGCCTGCGCAAGCTGGTGGTGCAGCGCACCAAGCTCATCGACGAGACGCAGGACATGCTGCTGGAGATGCTGGAGGACATGACGACCGGTGCGGGACGAGGGGGCGGGCGGGCGGGCCCCGGGGGAGGCTTCCCCAGGCGGCGTGGCCTCGCGAACAAGCGCAGGGCACCGAGGCACTGGATTGGGCCCCGGGGGCGGGCGCTGGCACAGGCCCGCCGGTTCTCCTCCTCCCAGCCGGGATGTGCGTGGCCCGGGTGCGTGGGGAGCCGCACTGTACTCCCCCCCCGCCCACGCCAGGGTCCGGGGCAAGCAAAGCCGCTCCCCGGAAAGCCCCCGCGCGCTGACACCCCCCCCCCGCCCCGCTCTCCTGGCAGGCACGGAGTCCGAAACCAAGGCCTTCATGGCCGTGTGCATCGAGACCGCCAAGCGCTACAGCCTCGACGACTACCGGACGCCCGTCTTCATTTTCGAGCGGCTGTGCAGCATTATCTACCCGGTAGGAAAGCGCGGAGGGGCCCGGGGGGCAGACGAGGCCGCTGGCGTTGGCCCACTCCATGTGCGGGCGGCCTGGGAGAAACCTCCTCCCCAGGGCCGCTTGCCAGGCCCCCTGCTTCGCAGGAGGAACCCCGCGAGAGCCTTGAGCTGCCCACACAAGCGGGTCGGGGCGCCCGGCACGTGCTCGGGGCCGGCTGAGCCTTTGTGGGAGCCGGCAGCTGACCGCGTTCCACCCCTCGCCCTCGCCGCCTTGCAGGAAGAGAACGAGGTGACGGAGTTCTTCGTCACCCTGGAGAAGGACCCCCAGCAGGAGGACTTCCTCCAGGGGCGCATGCCGGGGAACCCCTACAGCAGCAACGAGCCCGGCATCGGGCCACTGATGCGGGACATCAAGAACAAGATCTGCCAGGACTGCGACCTGGTGGCCCTGCTGGAGGACGACAGCGGGATGGAGGTGAGGCGCCGTGGGGCTGCAGCCTTCCCTGCCCGGTCCTGGCCCAGAGCAGCCCCGGGGGGCTTCCTGAAGGGGTCCCAGCCCCATCGAACCCTCGGGCCTCCGCAGGGCACCCGCTGGGGACTTTGGGGTGCTCCCCGGGGCACGGCGGCCCTTCCCTCGGCGGCTGGTTCCTCGCCTGCGACTCCAGAGCTGCCAAGGCATTGCGAGCGGCTCCTCAAAGTCCCCCAGGGCGATCCTCCCGCCGGCGCGAGCATCTCCTCTCTCCCCATGCAGCTTCTGGTGAACAACAAGATCATCAGCTTGGACCTCCCGGTGGCCGAAGTTTACAGGAAGGTCTGGTGTCCCACCAACGAGGTAAGGAGCTGGGCGCCCCCTTCTCTTTCCGGGCTACTGCCGCCTGCACCCCGTGGTTATCCGCACCTTCTCTTGCGCCTGCACCCCAGGGGCCGAATCCTGCCCCTGCTTTGGTCGAGGAGCGTCCTTCACTCCCAGTGGTCCTCAGGCGGGGGCGCTGCTGCAGGGGCCTTTTGCTGGCCCCCTTTGTCCAAAGACCCCCCCCAAGACCCCTTTACTTTGAGGCATGTCAGGCACAATCACACGTTTGGCTGCTGCCTTCCGAAGCTGATTTCACGCTTCCTCTGTGGCAGAGAAGAACCTCAGCGGTGCTCCATCCAGCTGCCTTTCAAAGGAACGGACTTTGCCGAGATCCTGAAATTACGGGTTTAAAAACACATTTATTGCGTGAGGGTATTTCTCAGCCAAAAGAACAGATTCCCAGAGTGGCTTTTGTGTAGTCAGAAAAATATAATAGTCTCTGCCAACATGGACTTACAGTATGAAAAGACGTGGCACGCAAGGAAAGATGGGTGGGGAGGGGAGAAGAAAAGCGCGTCCCCTTTCAGTGGGGCTGGTGGAACGTTCCCACTTCCCCTCCAATCCCTCTCTCATATAGTGTGTTGAAGTGGTTCCCGCCTCCCACAATTCTCACCCTTTTTCCTGGGTGTCCCTAATCTTGAGTCCAACAAATGGGCAGGTGGAGGAAAGTCTTCTGGCTGGGGTTGGCCCGGGCCGGGGTGCAAACGTGAGCACCCGTGCTTCTCGCCACTGGAAATAACCCTTAAAAAAGAGTCCTCCTAGGCTCAGAAGGGGTCGTGTCTCTGTTCTGCCCCTGAGCCAAGCAAAATCGAGCAACTGATAAGAGCTTTCCTTCTGTGGATCAAAATCGGTGAGCAGCCGAGGCAGCATTTTAAATTACAGGCCTGCCGATTGAAATCGGCAGTGCCCACAGACTGAAATGACAAAGCCACCGCGTTCCGTATTGACGCCGCTCAGAGAAAAGCTGTGTGCGTACGCGCGCTCAGAACTGAGAACTACCCAGGACATTTGTGAAGGCAAGAAAACTTTTTTCAAAATCCTCCAGAAGGGACATTGCAGAAGAGGGTGAGGGGGAGAAATTAAGTATTTGATGTCTTTGCTTTGACTATCGGTGCCAAACTTTGGGTATTATCCTCTGGAAAGCCTCTAGGAATGAATATGTTAAAATCTCCCTGCCTTGTCATCCGAGTTCAAAAGCATCTCATGTTCATTGAGAAGGCAGCCGGGAGATTAATGCTTTCAGATGCATGGATCCAAGTGGCCTGCGTTTCAAGCACACTGACAGTTCCTGAATAGAGACCTGCATTTCAGAATTTAATATTCGGGCACGTTGCGGAGGGCTGAAGGGGAACCATGAGGCTAGGGTGCTGCGTCTTATTCTCGTTTATTTCCGGGGGCACGAGAGAGCAAAGATCTGTTTCAGAGATGCGCTGAAGCACTGCCCTGTCTCCGAACTTTTCTTGCTCGGGCCCCGGCGTCGCATTCCCGCCGGGCTCCCCCTTGCAGCCCCGTGCGGCTGCTCGGGGCCCGGCAGCGGGTCTCGGGCTCGCGCCCGGGGGCCGGGAGGTCTGCGGATCGGCTTTCACCGCGCCAGCTCCATGCAGTGGCTGTCCGGCCTTCCTGCTGCTTTCCAGAGGTGTTGGAATGCAACCCCCCTCATTGGGATGATGGGAATTGCGATCCGACACACCCGGAGTGCAGCGCAGTGGGGAAAGCGACTTCCAGCCATGTGGCAGCTCAGTCCAGCACGGCGTGCAGTTCCTCCCTGGCCAGCGCCATCGGGGTGCATGTAAGCGCCTCGGGGCAGGTGCTTGCTCGTGCGTGCTTCCTTGCCCGTGCTTCTCCGCAAACATCGGCACCCTCTAAATCCGGCGTTTCATCCGACGGAGCCTTCGGCCAGCGAGAGCCGGTGCTCTGGACGGCCGGAACACACCGCAGGCTCGGGGGCTTAGAAGCCCCCCTTGGCCAGCGTCGGCCCAGTTCCACGCGTGAGGGCGCGTTCGAGGGACGGGCGCATCCCGCCAACCTCGCGGGGACCGTTGCCACGGGGGTTTGCCCCTCCTGGGGCTTGGCAGCTGAGCCAGCGTCCTGGGGACCGCGCTTCCGCACCGAGAGCCCCGCGTTTCGCCCCCGCAGGCAGGCGGGTTCCGGGCGACGCGGCCTCCCGGCCCACACGCCAGGGGGCTGCCATGCGCAGACGCGGGCAGGAGCTTTTCTGGCGCACGGGGGCGCGCTGCAGCCCCCCTCCTGCCTGCCCCCAGTGCCCGGGGTGGCACGGCTGCTCCGAAGCCGCCCCCGGGCCTGGGAGCTTGGCCAAGGGGCGCCCGGCGAGGTCGGGGCCGTGCGCGCCGGCCGCCTGTTGCACGCCGGCGCCGCTCCCCGGGTGCTGCGCTGCCCCCCGAGAGGCCGGGGAGCCTGTCAGCCTTGCCGTCACCGGGCCAGCTTTCATCTGCCTCCCCCCGGACCCCCCCCGCGCTCCCCAGCCAAATAGACAGGCTCACAAGGAGCTCACCTCGGGGCGGTATTTGTTCCCCTTGTCTGGCTTTCAGCCGCTTTCGCTTTGTTCGTCTGCCATTTTACCAGCGTCCCCCGCGGTGCTAATTGCGGGTCTCGAACGCGGCCTTTGAGCCGATCCTCCCCGGAGGGCTTTCCCGGCGCTCTCGGAATCTTCTCTGACATTAAGCGCCGCTTATTCCACATTAGGCTTAGCGGCAGCCTTCCTGACAGGCCTCTGCGCTCCCGCGCTCTCCCCCAATAAGGGGAATGAGGTCTCCTCCGCGCAAAGCCGGGATTTCCCCCCACCCGCCATTCTTCTCTGCTCTGTATTCAGACTTAAAGGGTATTAAAACGGAAAGTTCGGGGATGGAGAGGGAGGCAGGGAAACAAACAGCCGGGGCTTCTGGCCCGAAACACTCTCCCTCCCCACAGGGAAAGTTGTAACAAGTCCCTGCTCTGCTTAGCCACTTTCCTAATACCCTGTTTTACTTAAAAGCTTATTAAACTGTCACTCTCGCCTTCACTCCGTCCCCTCCTCCCCGGCTGCTTCCCGTCAGTGAGAGATTTGTGTTGTCTTTCTCTTTTTGTAAGTGCCAGTTTAGCTCTCTCAACTCCCTATTCTGTGTGTTTATTTCGGCTGCAAAGCATTCATCTGCCCCCGTGATTTTTGGTCAGAAGGGCAAGAAACAGGCCCGGGTTTAGTGGGCTAGCGCCTCGGGGTTCGGCTGCGGGGAGGGAGGGAAAACCGACCCCCAGGCACCGAGGGGACACGCAGAGCTTGCATGAACCGCTGCGGGGGGAGTCCTGGGTAGGGCGCGTGACGGTGGGTCAAACAAACCGGGGTTCGCGCGACGTGCAAGCCAGGCCGCACCGAGCTGCGGGCTCGAGGCAGGAGCTGGAGCAGTGCCCAAGAAGGCGAAATTATCCGGAGGCATCCGCCTGGCGGCCACCCCGCAAGGGAGGCCTGCGGTCCCGGCACGCCCGCAGCCGCGGAGCTTTCTTCCGTTATTCCCTGCCGCCTCTGCCTTCTCCAGGGAGAGCCGATGCGGATCATCTACCGGATGCGGGGCCTGCTGGGAGACGCGACGGAAGAGTTCATCGAGTCGCTGGACTCGACCACAGGTATGAGGCCCGCTTCCCTCCCGGGGTCTGTGGAGCATCCACCTGGGCCGGCTCCCTCCTTCCATTGAGCGCCTCGGGCCGTTGTGGGAGAGTCCTTTGCGGCCGGAGCGTCTGGCCAGTGCTAAATGACCGGGCATCCGGGGGGGTGGTCCCAGGTGCCGGTCAGCGGAAGGGGGGCTGTGGGAGTCAAATGGCAGCAAGCCGGTGGGTGCGTCCGCATGCCTTCAGGCAGCAGCCTCCTCCCCGGGAGCAGGAGCAAGACCCCCCACAGGACCCTTGGGGGGAATCGCCTGCCCTGACCCGCCAGATCGAGGCAGGGGGTCTCCCAAGCCCCTCCCTGACCCGCCGCCTTCCCCACGGCTTCCTGGCTTCTGCGCACTCTCTCGCCCGTTCAGAAGGGTTGGGAAGCCTCCCCTGGATTCAGCCAGGGGCGAGAAGAGCTTGAAACCAAGGCGGGCTGCCCCCGCACCCCTGTGCCTGGTGCCCCACCCTTGTCCGCAGTGTCCCCCCGAAAGAGGACGCACCCCGGGGGCCGAGCGGCTGGCCGGGGCGGCTTCCCTGCACGTGGCTGACGCGCCTCTCGCTCCCCCGCAGACGAGGAGGAGGATGAGGAGGAGGTGTACAAGATGGCGGGTGTGATGGCCCAGTGCGGCGGGCTGGGCTGCATGCTGAGCCGCCTGACGGGCATCCGGGACTTCAAGCAGGGCCGGCACCTCCTCACGGTGAGTCCACCCGCCGCAGCTCTCCCCCGCGCGAGGGCGCCCGTCGGGGACGCGGGCCGGCCTGACGGGGAATGGCGTGCAGTGCCCCCCCTCGGCCAGTGGGTGGCAGAGCGAGCCCAGCTTGCGCGCGATGCTCCGGCCGGCCGGCCGGCTTGCCGCCCGCAAGTGGGGGCTAAGGCTGGGCCTTGAGGGGGGCCGTTGTAGCGTCCGCTGGCTGTGCGGGACAGTGGCCGGCCAGGGGCTCCGAAAGCAGCCCCTCCGGGGCCCAAATTCCCCGCAGGGGCGCACGGCCTCTGCGCCGAGCAGCCGGGGGGCCGCCCCCTCCCCGCACCTGCCGTCCGGCCTCTGGAGCCTGCCCCGGGGCAGCGGAAAGCCTCCCGCCCACGCCGGCCCTCTGCCCCCACCCGCAGGTGCTGCTGAAGCTGTTCAGCTACTGCGTGAAGGTGAAGGTCAACCGGCAGCAGCTGGTCAAGCTGGAGATGAACACCCTCAACGTCATGCTGGGCACGCTGAACCTGGTACGGATGCCCCCCCGGCCCCCCGGTCCGGGAGCTGCGGCCCGCCGAGGCTCTCCTGGGCTCGCAGCTCCGCTCCTGGCGCGGAAGCGCTCTGGGCACATGCCCCAGCTTGTCCCCGCGCCTGGCTGGTCCAGCAGGGGGGCACCAGCGGTGGTGATGGCTGCAGCCCCAACCTCCCCCCCCCCCCCAGGCGCTGGTGGCCGAGCAGGAGAGCAAGGACAGCGGTGGGGCGGCGGTGGCGGAGCACGTGCTGAGCATCATGGAGATCATCCTGGACGAGTCCAACGCGGAGCCGCTGAGCGAGGACAAGGTACCTGCCCGGGATGGGACGGGGGGGCGCTTCCTGGCCGGGACCGGGCCTCACGGGGAGCAGGGAGCGGTTCCCACGCGAGTGGGTGCTCCTCAGGGTGGATCCTTCCTCCTGGGGCAGGGCCAGCCCCCTTCTGCCTTGTCCCGTGCCCCCCTTTCCCCATCTCCGTGCCCAGTTGGTGGTTTTCGTTGTGTATGCTTCTTGCTGGCAGAGACCCGTCCCGGAGGTTCCAGCGGGGCGAGAGCTAGCCCTGCGGGCTTAGCCGGGCGAGCGCTGGAGGGCTGGGAGCCGGGTTCGGGTGCCCACTCACGGGGTGACTGACGGCCAGCCACTGACACTGAGCCCGGCCTCCCTCACAGGGCTGTTGGGAGGGTGATGGGAGAGGAGGGCTCTGGCAGCCGCGTGGGGTTCCTTCTGGGAAAGGGGTGGGACGTGCACATAAATGAAGGATTGGAGCGCCCTTCGCGGGGGCTGGCGCCCTCCTTCCCGTGTCCGCCTCCCGCCATTCCGTGGGGGATCCCTCAGAGCTGAGGCGCGCCTCTCCTTCGAGGCCGGCCGGGGTCGAGGCGGCGCTGACCCCCAGGGGTCTTTCACGGCAGGCGCAGGAAGTCAGACCTCCGTCACCCGGACGGGGCGGCAGTTTCCTCCCGGGAGGGACCGCGAGGGGCCCCTTGCCCATGCCAGCAAGCCGCTTCCGGGGGGAAGTCGGGTGCTTCGGGGGTCTTGGGCAGGCGCCAAGCAGCGGGAAGGAAGGGGGAGGGCAGCGGGTGCCCCAAAGGTGCGTGGGGCGATGCAGGGCAGCGGTCAGGCGGGGGAAGGCACCGGCCCGCAGGGGGTCGGACAGGCCGGTTCAGCCCTGTCCCTCGCGCCGCAGGGCAACCTCCTCCTGACGGGCGACAAGGACCAGCTCGTGATGCTGCTGGAGCAGATCAACAGCGCCTTCGTGCGCTCCAACCCCAGCGTCCTGCAGGGCCTGCTGCGCATCATCCCCTACCTGTCCTTCGGTGAGACGGAGAAGATGCAGATCCTGGTGGACCGCTTCAAGCCCTTCTGCAGCTTCGACAAGTAGGCCCACGCGGCCGCGCAGTGGGGGGGGCGCCACGGCCGAGGCCCTGCGGGGCGGAGAGCGCAGCCTCTGGGCCCCGCCTGAGGCCCCCCCTTGTGTCCCCCCGCCCCGGCCAGGTACGACGAGGAGCACAGCGGGGACGACAAGGTCTTCCTGGACTGCTTCTGCAAAATCGCGGCCGGCATCAAGAACAACAGCAACGGGCACCTGCTGAAGGACCTCATCCTGCAGCGCGGCATCACGCAGAGTGCCCTGGACTACATGCGGAAGCACATCCCCAGCGCCAAGAAGTGAGGGCCGCAGCGGGCGGGCAGCAGGGCAGCGGGGCCAGCGACGGAAGCACCTCTCCCCGCGCCCCAGCGTGGCTCTTTCTCGGCTCAGGCGCTGGGCGGGATGTTCCCCGCAAGGGTCTGCTTTGGGGCAGCCCCCCCCCCCCCGCCAAGAAAGGGGTGGCTCATTCCTTTTGGGAGGATGTCCTGATTATTTCATGGGATTAATTTGGTGGATACAATATCTCTGTGCTGCCCTCGTGAGTAAGTTGCGGGGCGGTGTAGATAAAAGAGCGGAAGTGCCAGGGTCACAGAGCGCGTTGAAGGAGGGCGACTCTTGCAGTGCTGGGGAGCCGGAGTTTGGGGCCTGGACTTGCCTGGACTAGAGGCAAGAGGCCGAGCGCGGAGAAGGGGCTCCCTCCGGACGGGGGGCCTCCCGCTGGCGATGGCTCTCAAAGTGGCCGCCCACTCTGCTTCCCCCCCTTGCTCCCCACAGCCTGGACGCCGATGTCTGGAAGAAGTTCCTGTCCCGCCCGGCCTTGCCCTTCATCCTCCGGCTGCTCCGAGGCCTGGCCACGCAGCACCCCGGCACGCAGGTAAGGGGGACCTCCCTCCCGTCCCTCCCCCCACCCCCACTCGCTTCCAGGGGTGGCAGCCGCCCCCCTCGAGCCACGCCTGTCCTGTGCTCCCCCCACCCCGCCCCACATCAGGTCCTGATCGGCAACGACTCGATCTCCAACCTGCACAAGCTGGAGCAAGTCTCCAGCGACGAAGGGATCGGCACGCTGGCCGAGAACCTGCTGGAGGCGCTGCGAGAGCACCCAGACGTCAACAAGAAGATCGACGCGGCTCGGCGGGAGACGCGGGCGGAGAAGAAGCGCATGGCCATGGCTATGCGCCAGAAGGCCCTGGGCACCCTGGGCATGACGGTACCTGAGAGCCGGGGGCTCCGTCCTCCCCGCGGAGGGGCGCGGGGTCTCGAGCAGCGCCCCACCCGTGGCCGTGCCTGCAGCCCCAGGCCGGGGCGGCCCTTGTGGCGCCGGACGCTCACCGGCGTCCCGGGCTCCCCCGTCTCTCCCGCCCCCCTCACTGCCCGTCTCCGCTCGCTCCGCAGACCAACGAGAAGGGCCAGGTGGTGACCAAGACGGCGCTGCTGAAGCAGATGGAGGAGCTGATCGAGGAGCCCGGCCTGACCTGCTGCATCTGCCGCGAGGGCTATAAGTTCCAGGTGAGCCTGCGGGGAGCGAGCCCAGGGGACGGCTCTCTGGCACGGGTCTCGGCGGCCCCCCCAAGCGCCGGGAGGGCCGAGGGAAATGCAGGCGCCGGCACCCGGGGCACCCGGGGCTGTGGAACCCCCCACCCCGCTGCCCGCGTTGCCCTCCTGCAGGGCCACCCGGCTGGGCTCCCGGGCACTCGGGGGGCCTGCAGTAGCCGCTCGGCTGCCGATCGCCCCGGGGCCACGGGCCTTGGCTCTGCCAGTTCCGCTCCTGTGGGGAGGCCGCTCGTCTGCTCTCTGAGCGAGGGGCCCAGTGGGGCAGCCGAGGCTTTGAGGCCGGGGGACGAGCCTGGTCCCTTGGCCGGAGGAGCCGCCGGCCTCGTCCCAGCCTGCTTTCCCTCCTCCTCCTCCTCTTCCTCGCGCAGCCGGCCAAGGTCCTGGGCATCTACACCTTCACCAAGCGGGTGGCCTTGGAGGAGTTCGAGAGCAAGGCGCGCAAGCAGCAGGGCTACAGCACCGTCTCCCACTTCAACATCGTCCACTACGACTGCCACCTGGCGGCCGTGCGGTAAGCTTGGCCCCCCGGGCGTCGCGCACAGGCCAGCAGCCGCCCGTGGGGCGGGGAGGGCCGTCTGGCCGAGCCGAGCGCGAGCCCGTCGGGGCGGAGGAGGCTGCGGGGCCCGGGCCCGCGGCCCCTCTGCAGCCCGTGGGCCCCTCGGTTGCGCGAGGAGGGAACGGAGCCGGGGGGGCACGGGGGGGCCGTCTGGGCAGGCGTGGCATTGCCCCCTCCCCGCCCCGCAGGCTGGCGCGTGGACGCGAGGAGTGGGAGAGCGCGGCCCTGCAGAATGCCAACACCAAGTGCAACGGCCTCCTGCCCGTGTGGGGGCCCCACGTCCCGGAGTCGGCCTTCGCCACCTGCCTGGCCAGGTGAGTCAGGCGCCCCCCGGGGGTGTGGGGGCGGGCAAGCCCCGCCCCCTGCACTGTGGGGAGTGGAGAGACGCCCCCGTAGCCCCTCTGACCGCGCCGCCCGCCCCCAAACGGGCAGGCGCAGCGTCCCTTCGCGGACGCCTTGGCAGCGGGGGGGGGGGCCCCGGGGGGGGGGCGGGGGCCCTGACGGCCGGTGGCTCCCTCGCAGGCACAACACCTACCTCCAGGAGTGCACGGGGCAGCGGGAGCCCACCTACCAGCTGAACACGCACGACACCAAGCTGCTCTTCCTGCGCTTCGCCATGGAGCAGTCCTTCAGCGTGGACACGGGCGGCGGCGGGCGGGAGAGCAACGTCCACCTCATCCCGTACATCGTCCACACAGTGCTCTACGTCCTCAACACGTCAGTGCCGCCTGCTCCCGCGGGGGCTTCCGGGTGCGGGGGGAAGCCGCTCCCCGCCGGCGGGGGGCCGGGGTGCTGCAGGTCACGGGGGGCGGCCAGGGGGGCTCCTCTGGAGGGTCAGTGGGGCTGGGGAACCGGAAGCGCCCAGACGGCCGCATTGTGACACCTGGGCTCGGCGTCCCCCGGCCCAGGGGGCGCGCAGGCATCGAGCGAGCCGCTCCCGGGCGAGGGTCTCCACGACGGCGGGGGGCCGTCGACTGGCGAGGGTTGAGTCCCGCGGCTCTTCCTGGACTGATTTCTGTGCATGGGCCGAGCAGAGGATGAGAAGCGGCCGGGCGGCGAGGGAGTCCCAGAGCTCCTCTCCCAGCCGCCCCTGGGGACCCTGCCCCTTGAGGGGAGGCGGCCGCCCTCCAGCGTGTGGGAAGGCTGCACGGAAGCCGCCCACCGCCGGGGGGGGGGGGGGGGGGGG